AACAGTGGACTCTTTCTGTCTACGTCTCTCGCTCTCTCTGTCTCCTGAATAAAATAAATAAATTTTTAAACAGGTACTAATTGATCACTAACATTAAAATATTCATCGATCTCAGAAAAGCACTCTTAAGTTTCTTACTTCTTTTGAAAAGATCATATTGGACAAAGTTGGACCCCAATTCCTGAATATCTTTACTCAAGAGGAGATGAGCAGTGACTGGCTCATTGACAAGGGTCTTGCAATTTCCAGAGCCCAGGACGCCCCTGAACCCCACTTCTCTCATGCTCAGACCAACTCATCCCTCCCTGGACATGGTTGTTTGTGACCCACACTTTACTCCTAATAATGCATCAACACCTACAAATGACATTTTATCCACGGTCAAGCACAGTCAAGGTTTTCCTGTAGTAATATCACGTTTCAATACACTTTCCTAAGAAAGGGCCTGAGTCACAGTGATCAATTTCACATCACCCTAGATATGCCCCAGGTGTGTGCCTTCCATGTGAAAATCATTTGTCAATGGTGTCATGGGGGAGGGAGAATTTAGATTAACATGAACCAGATCCGTCCCCTTGGGGGATGTGCAGGAGGAATGAGGAACAGCGAGTTCTCAAGCCCTCTGAGAGTCCCTGGAAGCCCCTTGCCACTTGGTGACCTTTCAACAAGAGACCTTCAGCAATCAGCTCTTGGCATCACTGTGTGTACTGTGTTTCGACATGACTGACATTGTCCCGGTACGGAAATAGAGGAGAAATGCAGCGCCTGAGATGGCAAGATAGGCTCCTCTCTAAGGCCCAGGGCTGTATGGAAATTCCTTCTATATTCTGAGGAAATAGTTCAGTACAGCTCGTGGATTTCCATCTCGCCACAGTAGCACAGGGGAAGAGAGCTCATGAAGCAAGTAAAGCAGGTACAAGGGATTATTAAAAAAAAAAAAAGGTTCATGGAAAATGCATCTTATGCAAAAACTATCCAGGGATTTCCAAAAAAAAAAAAAAAAAATTAGCACCAAAACAAGCTCATCTTTTCACTCCATTTTTCACAGACTTTTTGAAGTCTGCTTGTATCACAGGTCAGTAGCGTTCGTGCTGCCCTGATGACTGGGTTCTCCTAGTGGCTTTCATCTTCAAAGGACTCACAAGTAATAATCAAGCCAATCACTCATGCCCTAAAATTATACCCCCGCTGCAAAGTTGCTGGAAGGTCCCGGCTGCTAGGAGACAGTTGAAAGAGGCAGACCTGGGAGAGCTGTGTTAAGCAGATTCTTTTATCTGCAAGCAACAAATAGGCAGCCTACTTGAGTAATAGAGTTTTTAGGTTAAAATGTATGCAGTGATAAAGATGATGGCAATGACAATGATATGCAAGTGCATCGGTCCAATCTTGGCCTATTAATGAGTCTTTTTGATGACAAGATTGCACTGAGCTCCAGAGAGTCTCTTTGACACAGATGCAAGGACAACTCAATAGAGAAAGGGCACCCTTTCAGTATATGATGCTGGAAAAAGTGAACATTCATCTGCAGATGAAATGGACCCCTGCTCATCCCTCACATCTTATAAAAAATTAACTCAAAATGCTTCCTAAATGGAAACTTCTGGGGCTACTGTTGTGGTGCATTGGGTTGAGCCTCTGCCTGCAATGCTGGTATCCTATATGGTCGTCATTTCAAGTCCTGGCTGCTCTACTTCCATTCTAACTCCCTGATCATGTGCCTGGAAGGGCAGCCGATGATAGCCCAGATGCTTGGGCCTCTGTCCCCATGGAGTTCCTGGCTCTTGGTCAAGCCCAGCCCCAGCTGATGTGGCCATATGGAGAGTGAACCAGTGAATGGAAGACTCTCTCTCTCTCTCTCTCCCTCTCCCTCTTCCTCTTCCCTCTCTCCCTCTCTCTCCCTCTCTCTTTGTAACTCAACCTTTTAAACAAATTAATTTTAAAAAATAAACTCACAACTCAGCAAATATACTCTAGGTATTTATCCACACAAATTGAAAACTTATGTTCATTCAAAAACCAAATATTATTATTTAAGAAACCTTATCAATAGTTGCCCCAAACTGGAAACAAACCACAATGTCTTTCAGTAAGTGCAAGAATAAAGTATGATTATATATGCGTATGTATAATAGAATAATTTAAAATGAATGGGTTATTGAGTTATACAACATATTCATATACAAATCTTATATGTGTTTTGCTAAGTGAAAGAAAACAGACCCAAAAAAAGCTATATACTGTATGACTCTATTAGTATGACATTTTGGAAAAGGCAAAATTAGAAGACTAGAAGGTAGACTGAGAGTTGCCAAGGTTAAAGGAAGGAAAAGTGTTTTACTGGGGACATAGGGGGTATTATCCAAGGGATGGAACAGTTCTTTATGGTGATGGGGTGGTGGATAGGTGTGTTTTAGAACCTTGTAGACCTGTATATTATGAAGAATGGGTTTTCTTTTTTTTTTTTTTACATTCACTTAGTCATCTTTTAGCTATTTTTAAACATATACCTTTATTTTTAGTTTTAGAATGATTACACAGATTTCAGGGACATGGTGTGACATTTCAACACATATACCCAATGTGCAGTGATCAGAGCAGGGTGTGTGTGTCAGCTCTGACCTTGAACATGTGTTTGTGGTGGAAACTTTCAACATCCATGCTACCAGTTATTTTGAAGGAGTCAGTAGTTGTCAGTCACAGTTATCCTGCTGCGCTGTGTAGAACATGGCCATTTGCAACCCTGAGCTTATGAGCTGTCCTCTCTCCATCCCTCCTTCCCTGAACACTTTTTGCAGCCTCTGGTAACCACTGTTCTATTCTCTACTTCTTTGAGATCAACTTTTTAGCTTCCACTTGTAAGTGACAACATGTAGTATTTGTCTTTCTGTGTGTGACATTTCATTTCACATAACATCCTCCGATTCCATCCATGTTGTCACAAGTGTCAGGGTCCCTTTCTTTTTTATGGCTGAATAATATTCCATTGTGTGTGCACACCATACTTTCTTTATCCGTTCGTCTGAATGGATAGAAAGAAAGAAGAAAATGATGAAGACAAAAGAAGAGGAGTGAGTTAAAATAAGGTAAATGAGTTAAAAATAAGCAAAGGAAAAAATGCTAGAATCAGCACTGTGATACTTGAGTGGAGTTGGACTTGGGATCTACTCATGAATTCATGTTTAGTTTAATATGTGTGAGGATACATAAATATAGAAACAATGATAGATATGTGCATATGTAAGGATCAGTGCATGTACACACACTCTAGACTGTGTCCTCTGACAGCTGAGAAACAATCATAGTCCATTAGCAACAAGTGCACCCAGTACGTACATCTTGTTTCTATTTATTATTTTTACTTAAGAGACAAAAGAACAGAGAGAGCTCCCATCCAGTGGTTCATTCCCTGCGTGTCCACAGTGCCTAGGACTGGGCTGGAGTCAGGAACTCCATCCAGGCTTCCCATGTGGCTGGCAGAATCCAATCTCTTGGACTATCACCATTGCCTCCCAGGCGCTGCACTGGCAGGAAGCTGACGTGAATGGCCAGAGCTAAGGATCAAACTCAGGCACTCTGTGTAGGATGCAGGCATCTTAACCATTAGGATAAACTCACTCCCAGATCTTGGTTCCTAATTACCATTCTCCAGTGAAATGGGTTAGGGCTTCTTGGATAAATGGCTAGGAAAGGAGAAATACAAGATGAGCCTGGAGCATCTCACCGTGCCAGAAAATACAGAAGTGCTCAAAAAACAAAAGGATGGTTAACAACAATGGGAGTCTACTTAAAACCACTGAGCTGTCACTTAAAAGTAACTAAGAGGGGGAATTTTATGTGCGTGCATTTTACTACAATTTCTTTTGAATAAAAAGGATGGCAGTCTCTCAAAGAAGCACAGAAGCTGACCTGAAAAGTCTCCCAATGGGCAAAGCTGGCACAGCTTTGGGCAACAACATGCACTATTGTGCATGCCACCAGCAATGGGTAATGTAGCCTTAACCCGAGTACAAAATCCATACGGATGAGCCCATCCTTGTATAAAAAAAGAGATCTGATAAATGAGAGAGAAGAGGAAAGATTTCTTTTTTTTCTTTTTTTTAACTTTTATTTAATGAATATAGATTTCCAAAATACAGCTTATGGATTACATTGGCTTCCCCCCTCCCCAATGACTTCCCTCCCGCCCGCAACCCTCCCCTTTCCCGCTCTCTCTCCCCTTCCATTCTTTTTTTTTTTTTTTTTTTGACAGGCAAAGTGGACAGTGAGAGAGAGAGAGACAGAGAGAAAGGTCCTCCTTTTGCCGTTGGTTCACCCTCCAATGGCCGCCGCGGCCGGCGCACCGCACTGATCTGATGGCAGGAGCCAGGTGCTTCTCCTGGTCTCCCATGGGGTGCAGGGCCCAAGCACTTGGGCCATCCTCCACTGCACTCCCGGGCCACAGCAGAGAGCTGGCCTGGAAGAGGGGCAACGGGGACAGAATCTGGCGCCCCGACCGGGACTAGAACCCGGTGTGCCGGCGCCGCAAGGTGGAGGATTAGCCTAGTGAGCCGTGGCACCGGCGTCCCCCTTCCATTCTTATCAAGATTCATTTTCAATTTTCTTTATATACAGATCAGTTTAGTATACATTAAGTAAAGATTTCAACAGTTTGCACCCACATAGAAACACAAAGTGAAAAATACTGTTTGAGTACTCGTTATAGCATTAAATCTCAATGTACAGAACATTAAGGACAGAGATCCTACATGAGGAGTAAGTGCACAGTGACTCCTGTTGTTGACTTTACAAATTGACACTCCTGTTTATGGCATCAGTAATCTCCCTATGCTCCAGTCATGAGTTTCCAAGGCTATGGAAGCCTTTTGAGTTCACCGACTCTTATCTTATTTAGACAAGGTCATAGTCAAAGTGGAAGTTCTCTCCTCCCTTCAGAGAAAGGTACCTCCTTCTTTGAAGACCTGCTCTTTCCACTGGGATCTCACAGAGATCTTTCATTTAGGTTTTTGTTTTGTTTTGGTTTGGTTTGGTTTGGTTTGGGTTTTTTTTTGCCAGAGTGTCTTGATTTCCATGCCTCAAATACTCTCATGGGCTTTTCAGCTGGATCCGAATGCCTTTAGGACTGATTCTGAGGCCAGAGTGCTGTTTAGGACATCTGCCATTCTATGAATCTGCTGTGTATCTTGCTTCCCATGTTGGATTGCTCTCCCCTTTATATATTCTATCAGTTAGTATTAGCAGGCACTAGACTTGTTTATGTGATCCCTTTGACTCTTAGTCCTATCATTATGATCAATTGTGAACAGAAATTGATCACTTGGACTAGTGAGATGGCATTGGTGCATGCCACCTTGATGGGATTGAATTGGAATCCCCTGGTATGTTTCTAACTCTACCATTTGGGGCAAGTCAGCTTGAGCATGTCCCAAATTGTATATCTCTTCCCACTCTTATTCCCACTCTTATGTTTAACAGGGATCACATTTCAGTTAAATTTCAACACTTAAGAATAACTGTGTATTAATTACAGAATTAAACCAGTAGTATTAAGTAGAACAGACCAAAAAAATACTAAGAGGGATAACGTATAAAGTTGTTCATTAACAGTCAGGGCTATGCTGATCAAGTCACCATTTCTCATAGTGTCCATTTCACTTCAACAGGTTTCCTTTTTGGTGTTCAGTCAGTTGTCACAGATCAGGGAGAACATATGATATTTGTCCCTTTGGGACTGGCTTATTTCACTCAGCATGATGTGTTCCAGATTCCTCCATTTTGTTGCAAATGACTGGATTTCATTGTTTTTTTACTGAGGTATAGTATTCTAAAGAGTACATATCGCATAATTTCTTTATCCAGTCTACCGTTGATGGGCATTTAGGTTGGTTCCAAGTCTTAGCTATTGTGAATTGAGCTGCAATAAACATTAGGGTGCAGACCACTTTTTTGTTTGCCAATTTAAATTCCTTTGGGTAAATTCCAAGGAGTGGGATGACTGGGTTGAACGGTAGGGTTATCTTCAGGTTTCTGAGGAATCTCCAGACTGACTTCCATAGTGGCTTGACCAGTTTGCATTCCCACCAACAGTGGGTTAGTGTCCCTTTTTCCCCACATCCTCACCAGCATCTGTTGTTGGTAGATTTCTGTATGTGAGCCATTCTAACTGGGGTGAGGTGAAACCTCATTGTGGATTTGATTTGCATTTCCCTGATTGCTAGTGATCTTGAACATTTTTTCATGTGCCTATTGGCCATTTGGATTTCAGAAGAGGAAAGATTTCTTACAGAAAAAATTCTACATTACGTAGATAACTCCCCTCCAGGAGGTGGAGTTTAATTCCCTTACACACACCTGAGGATGGCTAGACATAATTACTTGCTTCCATAAGGGAAAATAGTAGCTTTACTTTTTTTTAAGATGTATTTATTTTAAAGGCAGAGAGAGAGAGAATCTTCCATCTGCTGGTTCACTCACCAAATGGCCAAAACCAGGAGCCAGTAACTCCCTCTGGCTCTCCCACGGGAACCCAGGCGCCTGGGCCATCTTTCACTGCTTTCCCAGGTGCATTAGCAGGGAGCTGGATGAGAAGTGGAGTAACAAGCACTTTATGGGATGTCAGCATCACGCGCCATGGCAGGTGACCACAAGCAAGCCACAGGAGCTTTCCTCTTAAGGCAGACAGCAGATTAAACAAGTGATGGAGGTTAATGTTACCAGTGAGTTGTGGTACCAACACATACCCCTGATAGGATGTCATGGGAGTAGCACTTCACCTCTCTGGTCTTTCTCCCTGACACCCATAATCTCAGGCTAATCATAAAATAACAGCGGACGCTTCCAAAAGGAGGCACATTCTTGAGACCTGGCTGCTCTACTTCCAGTCCAGCTCTCTGCTGTGGCCTGGGAAAGCAGCAGAAGATGGCCCAAGTCCTTGGGCCCCTGCACTCGTGTGGGAGACCCAGAAGAAGCTCCTGGCTCCTGGCTTCGAAAAGGCTCAGCTCCGGCCATTGCAGCCATCTGGGGAGTGAACCAGTGGATGAAAGACCTCTCTCTCTCTCTCTGCCTCTCCTTCTCTCTGTGTGTAACTCTGACTTTCAAATAAAAATAAATAAATCTTTTAAAAATGTTAAAAATAAATAAAGATGTTAGCAGTAAGAGATTTTATTGGAGGGTATATTGGAACGCTCTATGCTCCCAGAAAGTTTTCTGTACATCAAAAATTAAAAGGTTGTATAAAAAAATAAATAAAGATTTGACAGTTAAGTTGGTGGGAACATCAAAGAAATACAGGGAACCTCAGCTCAACGTGAATCTGTGGTTGTGGTCTTTAGTTTTTTTTTTTTTTTTTAAATTAGAGACACGCACAGTGCTCGCATTCACTGGTTCATTCCCCAAGTGGCCCAAACATCTAGGGTTGGCCTGGGTCCAGAGAAATCCATATCCAAACGACTCCTCCCTCATGAGCCACTTCTTTACAGGAACTCAGAATTCATGAAACCCAGAACGAAGGCACAACATTGAGCCTAGGTGCTCCGGCCAGAAAAAACAGATCGCTTCTGATCTGACCTTGTTTGCCTGTAGTGACTTGCTTTTGCTGGACTGTTTTCCTGCTGCCTGGGAGGTTTCTAAATGCCAGCTGGCCTGCAGCAGATTCCTACTGACTGAGTGACTGGGATGAGGACCTCCCCTGTGGTCCCCCCACCACACTGCATTTCTTACATTGGCTGTGGCCACCTCCGTGCACTTCTACTTTTTGCCCCCTGTTTGAACATATTCCCTAATGGAAGACAACTGGCACCAGGATAAAAATGCAATGATGGTGTTCATATTTTCTCAACCTCAAGCTAGGTGGGCCCTATCCCTCACTCTCTATCAGTTGCAACCTAAGAAGTTACACAGCGGCCAGCCCTGTGGCACAGCCGGTAAAGCTGCCACCTGCAGTGCTGCCATCTCATGTGTGCTCTGGTTCGAGTCCTGGCTCCTCCGTTTCCCATCCAGCTCTCTACTAATGTGCCTGGGAAAGCAGTAGAAGATGGCTCAAGTCCTTGGGCCCCTGCACCCACGTGGGAGACCCGGAAGAAGCTCCTGGCTCGCAGCTTTGGATCGGCTTTGCTCCGGCTGCCATTTGGGGAGTGACCCACTGGATGGAAGTTATCTGTCCCTCTCATTCTCTTTTCTCTCTCTGCCTCTGCCTCTGTAAATCTGTCTTTCAAGAAAATAAATAAAATAAAATAAGATGTAACACAGGTTTTGTTGAGGCATAAACGGTAGCTGTAGAGGAAAATTAACTTATTCTCATGGTAGGAGGAGGCTCTGAAGAAAGTATTACATACACGCAGTTCAAATCAACAAACACAACCGCCGTGTTCTCACCTCTCAGTCTGGAACTGGGGCTCTAAAGACAAAAAACCAAGTTCCTCACCCTGAATGAATGGACCATACCTGGCAGAAGGCAGACGTGTGATGATGGCAATGTTCCCAGAAAGAAGGCAGGAATTGGTTCAGGAGCTCAGAACGAGGAGTTATTCTGAATCAAGGGATAAATACGTAACATTTGAAATAGGCCTCACTTATCGATCTGTCAATCCTGTCCATGTCCTGGCCGGGTGAGCTTTCCCGTGTTGAGTCAAATTGAGCCGCGGGCTCCACACCTGGTGGTGCCCTTCTGTCGATTCCTTTGAGTTTCGGCTTTGCAGCCATGCTCCCCCCAGAGCCCAAGGGCTTTGGTTTCCCAGAGGCTGCCTGGCGGGTCATGGGAATGGCGCCGCCGCATCGCCAGTTGGCATCGTTTATGGTCGGAACTGTGATGGTGTCTGGTCGTCTTTGAATCTCCGACTTTCGTTCTTGATTGGTGAGAACATTCTTGGCAAAAAAAAAAAAAAAATATATATATATATATATATATATATATATATATATATATAGGCCTTATGGAAAAGTGAGGATTTTTCTAACTGGAAAATGTTGGGAAGACGTTCTAGACATGGAGGTTAACAAGAACAAAGTGAAAAGGTAAGAAGGTAACTGGTCTAGGAGGGGATGGCCAGAGTTCATTTGTGTGGCTGAAGCCACAGTGCAGCTCTGACGAAGACCTGGGCCCGCCCTCAGGCCCCCACAGAGCCACAGCCTGCATTCTGCAAGCCACAGCCGGTGTCAGAGACTGCAAAAGCCCTGCTCCTCCAATTCTGACCACTGCAAGTAGCGACAGTTCATGGAACCACCATGAAAGATTCTAGCTGCCACGCAGAGCAAGGACGTGAGCATACCTTGTTCCTAAGTTCATTCCCTCGCATTCAATTTAGAATTTGCTGAGTGAGCAGCCAGACACTGGAAAACATTAAGATTCCAGATCCCAGTGTACCATAGTTCCTGGTCTGGCAGAGCCTAATAACTGGAGATTTCCTTTATGTATTTATTTGCCTAAAACACTGATATTAACTTATTGATAGCAAAGAATGAGAAATAATTTTATTTATGTTATTTATTTGAAAGGCAGAGCTATACAGAGAGGGAGAGAAAGAGAGGAAGAGGAGAGGAGAGGAGAGGAGAGGAGAGGAGAGGAGAGGAGAGGAGAGGAGAGGAGAGGAGGATCTTCCATCCATTGGTTCACTCTGCAAATGGCCGCAACTGCCAGGGCTGTGCCAGGCTGAAGCCAGGAGCCAGAAGCTTCTTCCAGGTCTCTCATGTGGGCTCATGGGCCCAATCACTTGGGCCATCCTGCGATATTTTCACAGGTGCATTAGCGGGCAGCTAGACCAGATGTGGAGCAGCCAGGGCTCAAACCGGTGCCCACATGAGATTCTGGCATTGCAGGCAGTGGCTTTTCCCACTGCACCACAACGCTGGTCCAAATTTTTTTATTATTTAATCAAAATAATATTACTGCAAAAGAACCATGAAAGTCCCAGTACTTAAAGGGAGTTATTGTGGCACAGTGAGTTAAGCTGCCACTTGGGACGCCCACAACCCATATCAGAGTGATTGGTTCATGCATTGGCTACTCTGCTTCTGATCCAGGTTCCTGCTGATTGTTCAAGCCCTGGAGTCCCTGCCACCCACCAAGGAAACCTGGATGGAGCTCCTGGCTCCTGGTTTTAGCTTGGCCCAGCCCTGGCTGTTGCAGACATTTGGGGAGTGAACCAGTAGATTCAAGATTTCATTCTGTCGCTCTGCCTTTCAAATAGATAAATAAATCTTTTTTTAAAATTTAATATATTTTCAAAAGGAAATTATGAATACAATTTAAAAACAACAACAACAAATAAAACAAGGGCAGCAGGCATCTGGCATAGCAGTAAAGTCAGTGCTTTGGACACCTGCATCCCATATCCGAGTGTGTGGGTTCAAGTCCTGGCTCCACTCCGGATTCCAGCTTCCTTCTTGTCCCAGCTTTGCCCTGGTCCAGCAGCAGCTGTTGCATGCATTTGGGGAGGGAGACAAAGGACAGGAGTGCTCTCTCTCTTTGAAACAGAATGAATGAATAAAAATTTTTAAAGATTTTATTTATTTACTTGAAAGAGTTACAGAGAGACAGAGGCAGAGAGAGAGAGAGAGGTCTTCCATTAGCTGGTTCACTCCCCAGATGGCCGCAACGGCCGGAGCTGCGCCTATCCAAAGCCAGGAACCAGGAGCCTCCTCCAGGTCTCCCAGGCGGGTGCAGGGAACCAAGGACTTGGGCCATCTTCTACTGCTTTCCCAGGCCACAGCAGAGAGCTGGATCAGAAGTGGAGCAGCTGCGTCTCGAACCGGCTTTCATAAGGGATGCCAGCGCTTCAGGCGCCGGCTCTACCCGCTACGTCACAGCGCCGGCCCCAAAAATAAAGCTTTAAAATAAAACCTGTCTACTTATAGGAAATATCTGACCTTGGTCTCACAATAAAAGAGGAGAGAAAAAAATTGCATCAAAAAACAACTCGGCGGGTCCTCCATGACTCCATGACTGTGTGGGACAGCTGCCCTAAAGAGAAGGCGTCTCTTTATAAAACTGGGCTGAGTGGACATGGATTCATCCCACACCTGCCTAACCTGGGCCAAGACCTACAAAACCAGAGCTGCAGCAGCTTAGTGTGAGCCCTTTCCAGCCTGTGGCCACCAGAGGGCGTTGCATCCCAGCAATCGTCATTCCGGGCGAGCAGGAACGCGTGTTGATGAAGCTTGTCTCCTCCACGGCTCCGTAGCAGGACTGAAGGAACTGTGTGTCTGCTCTCTCGCGAGGACGACTAGGCCCCTGCCCGCCCTCCCCGGTCCCTCCCGATCCGCTCGCGCGCGCCCAGACCCCTCCCGGTGGCTGGCGGCAGGTGGCGCTGTCTGTGGCGTCGCTGCGCCCCGGCTGCCTCGGCGACCATCTCCCGGCGGGCAGTGCGGCCCGGCTCTCCGGCGGCTGCGAGTGCCACGTCCGAAGTGCTACGCGGAGGGAGCGGGCGGTGCGGAGGGGCGGGGAGCAGAGCGGCGCCCGGCTCGGCTGCACCGATCGCCCGGCGCCATGGGCTCCTCGCAGAGCGTCGAGATCCCAGGCGGGGGCACGGAAGGCTACCACGTCCTGCGGGTAAGGCCTCCGACCGCGGCCCGCGAGCGGCGGGCTGGAAGTGGGAGGCGGAGGCCCCGATGGGCCCTTTGCCCGGGGCAGCTAGGCCCGCTCCCGCGAAGGAGCGGCGACCGGGGGCGCTGGCCCTGCCCGAGGCTGGTTGCGGAGGCCGCTCGCATCGGGTCTCCCCGGAGCGCTCCGGGCGACGGGCTGGAGCCGGAGGCGGCTGCGGGGCACTCGGCCGGGGGACGGCCCTGGGCTGCTGTCCCGCCTCGGAGCCCCTCTGCTCCCCACCTCTCTCTCCCCCACACCCGATTCTTAGCTCCCGAAGTCCGGGAGGGCTTGGGGCGGTGGTGAAGGGAGCCTCGCAGGCGGGCGGCGACGGCAGGTGTTGAGGTTCCCGGCCTTGTCCGGATGTCCGGGAGCCCCCGGGCCGAGTGGCCTGGACGTGGCTTCGGCGGACTTTGCTGGATATTGACGGGACGTTTTCCTCTCCCGTCGCCCCCGACCTTTCGAGCTCTCCTCTAACACATGTCCCGGAAGGCGGGGGGGACTTCGTCCCGAGACTGCCGAGGGTGCGCTGGAGTTCAGGGTTAAAAAGACAAGGCTCCTTGCGGAGCCAGCCGGGAAACTCGGGGGCCGGAGTCTGTCGGGGGAGCCCCTTGGAGCGGCTTTGCGCCGTAGGGAGCGGGGGCCGGCGCGGATGGCCGCGCTGTGACACCTGTGCGAGTGGGCGCCGTCAGCGGGGTGCCCGGGCGAGAGCGCGCTCGCTGGGGCGCCCTGGTCCCCTCTGCTGGGTCCCGGGTCTTAGGTGAGACAGCGTTCCCGAGGCGCGGCTGACGACGGGCTGAGGGCTGGCATACAGCCTCTTTCTGATCTCTCAGGATTAGGTGGCCTGGTTGCTTCTCCGTTCCGCTCAGAATTCCTCTGGAAGCCACAGTCTTGGTGGGAAAGGATGGATTCCCCACCCCCACCCCAAAAGAAGAGTTTGAATAAACGCTATTTCCCTTCAGCTAACCAGAACACACACACACACACACACACACACACACCCGAGTGCTGCCCTATTGATGGGGACCCTGGAAGAACCGGCCGTGTGAGAGGAAAGACAGTGAAGTGCTTCTCTCTTACCTGGTCTGATTTTGAGTTCCCTGCCCTGGGAGACGTGATCCAGGTTTGCCAGCAGATTCTCGCCGTGGCTGATGGTGGCCATGAATCCTTGGGGACGCGGGATGTTTTTATAAGCAGCCCTCATTGGGAGGGGAGCTCAGTAAAACACATTAGCAGTAATGAGCCCGAGTATTTGAAAGAAAGCCATACACATCAAAAGGATTCCGATATAATGACTTTTTGTTAATGACTTCATTCCGGCGGAAAAACAAGTTGAAGTGCAGTTCAGTAAATTTGTATCATGCATATTCGGGAGTGCTGAGGTGTTACTAATCTAAACGTGACTTTTAGAGACACTGTGGACAACTTTAGTTACCAGCCGGCAGCGGGAACGTTATTGTTGCAGAAGATGAGATCATTCTTATTTAGTTAGCATTTTATTAAGGGGAGCTTTAAAAAGTCATGATTGTCTAGTTTAGGAGGATTTGTTTCTGAGTTCTGGTCTCCTCTGCCTTGATTCTGTATTTGGTTGCCTTATCTTCGTTTTGAAAGAGAAAAGTATTATATTCAATCTTAGCTTATAGAAATAACTTCATTTCTTGTTGCCTAAGTATACAGTGGTAGGTCCACCAATGAATTACTGAGATTCTAAATCAGATTAAATATGGCAGGAACGTCTTGTACTAAAATCACCTATGTTCATTGAGTTCTACAACGAGTTAGCTAGAGTTTAGTTTTCTCTGATCACCAGTTCTAGGACCATTTCCTTGAGTGGACTTGCATGACTAGGTTTTGAAATACTGTAGTGGCCTCTTTTTATTGTTATTTCCTGAGTCCCTATAATTCAGATAGACTGAACTTTCCCTTTTTTCTGTTATTTTTGTGGTGCCCGTTGTTAGGCTCTGCTTGAAAAACTTTTAGGTGATAGCCCTGAAATGAATCCAGAAATTCTGCTATGAACAACTACTGCATTTATGTATTAATGCATGTTTTTTTGTGTTGCCATCATATTGTACATGTAAACCTACCTCCTGTCCCCATTTGGAAAGTAACTAACCACCGTACACAGCTGCTCTTGCAGTCTTTCAAATGTGTTTTGTATTTGTGAAATAATTTCTGCTCACTTGCTCCCTCCTACCCATCCTTCTTTCTTTCTTTTTCTTCCTTCCTCCCTCCATTTTGGTGGCAGTTGGCATCATATGGTACATACTGTTATACACCTTGGTCTTCTCATAGGGTCACCTAACTTGGCAGTCTTTTTTTTTTAATTTTTTTTTAATATTTTATTTATTTGAGAGGTAGAGTTACAGACAGTGAAAGGTTTTTCCATCCACTGGTCCAGATGGCTGCAATGGCCGGAGCCAGGAGCTTCCTCTGGGTCTCCCACGTGGGTGCAGGGGCCCAGGGACTTGAGCCATCTTCTACTGCTATCCCAGGCCATAGCAGAGAGCTGGATTGGAAGTGGAGCAGCTGGGACTCGAACCGGCACCCATATGGGATGCAGGCGCCGCAGAGAATTAACCCACTGCGCCACAAGGCAGCCTGGCAGTCTTTCTGCAGGAGCACATAATCTGGTTAAGCAGCACCTCCTAGTGTTTAACATTTAGTTTGCTAGTCTTTTGTTATAAGTACATATCTACAACTTTAAGTCCTACTTGTTTGCACTTAAAAACACATTTCCCCAAAATAATGAATTTTAATGTCTATATAAATGTTGATCATCATTTTTGTAAATTATTTCAAAGAACCGAAATTATCCATAATTCCACCACCTGTAAAAGTTCATACGGGTAAAGCCACTACCTGCAGTGCCGGCATTCCATATGGACACCAGTTCGAGTCTGGGTTGCTCCACTTTCGATCCAGCTCTCTACTATGGCCTGGGAAAGCAGTGGGAGATTGCCCAAGTGCTTGGGCCCCTGCACCCATGTGGAAGACCTGGAAGAAGTTTCTGGCTCCTGGCTTCAGATAGCTCAGCTCCGGCCATTGCAGCCATCTGGGGAGTGAACCAGTGGATGGAAGACTTCTCTGTCTCTGCCTCTCTCTCTAACTCTCTCTTTTTTTTTAAATTTTATTTATTTTTATTTATTTATTTATTTATTTATTTATTTTGACAGGCAGAGTTAGACAGTGAGAGAGAGACAAAGGTCTTCCTTTTTCCTTTGGTTCACCCCGCAAGTGGCCGCTGCGGCCGGCGCACTGTGCTGATCCGAAGCCAGGAGCCAGGTTCTTCCTCCTGCTCTCTCATGCGGATGCAGAGCCCAAGCACTTGGGCCATCCTCCACTGCACTCCCAGGCCATAGCAGAGAGCTGGCCTGGAAGAGGGGCAGCTGGGACAGAATCTGGTGCCCTGACCGGGACTAGAACCCAGGGTGTCGGTGCCGCAGGCAGAGGATTGACCTAGTGAGCCGCGGCGCCGGCCTCTAACTCTCTTTCAAATAAAAGTTTACTGTCTATAGTTGAAGGATACTGAATACACGTTTCTTGCCCAGATTTCCCATTAATAATTATCAAGCGAGCCAAATAAAGCCATTTTCTAAATCATCAGGGGGAAGGGGCAGTGGGCAGTGTTGTAGCATGGCTGGTTAAGTAGCTACTTGTAAAGCCAGCATCCCGTGTGGGTGTTGATTCAAATCCTGGCTGATCCACTTCTGATCCAGCTCCCTGTTAATGCGCCTGGGAAAGCAGTGAAAGATGGGCCAAGTTCTTGGGCCCCTGCCACCTATGTGAGAGACCCATGTAGAGTTCTTGGCTCCTAGCCCTGGCCTCACCCAGCCCTGTCCTTTGCATATATTTGGGAAGTTAAGCAGTGGGTAGAAGATACCTCTGTTTATGTGTGTGTTTCCTTCTCTCCTCTCACCCTGCCTTTTAAGTAAATTAAGTTTAAAAATCTTAAAAGAAATTGTGTTTTTAGAATGGCTGATGGATGACTATGATAGAACCAGTTTCTAAGTTAAAATATTCAAAACATTCCTCTTCTCTACTTAATACTCTCTGAGATGGAGGATGTCTGAGGGCATTTTGGGGCCATTGTTCACACCACTGTGGAGACAGGGATAACGTGGTGTTCATTCATAATTTCCTCTGGGTGAGATCTGAGGCCATGAAGGCTTTGAAGGAAGGGATGTTGAGATGAAGCATGTGTCCAGGGCAATAACAAGTCTTTATCTCTTGAAGCATTTGCTGCAGAGAGAATATGACTGCAAATGGAATTGTTCCTATGATACACAGAATACCTAGACCGTATCTACTATCATATGGAACTACTCTTTTTAATGATGCCTCACTAGTAATCTATATGAAATCTTGCTTGATGGGATTTTGATTTTACTTTGAAAAAATATATTCCTGTTATTTGATAGTTAAAATTTTTTCTTTATTCTTCTAATGATTTTTCTCAAGCTTTTTTTTTTTTTTTTTTAAGATTTATTTATTTATTTGAGAGGCAGAGCTACAGAGAGGGAGAGACAGAGAGAAAGAACTTCCGTCACTGGTTCACTCCCCAAATGGCCACAGTGGCTGGAGCTGGGCCAATCAAAGCCAGGAGCCAGAAGCTTCTTCCAGGTATCCCATGTGGGTGCAGGGCCCCAAGCACTTGGTCCAACTTCCACTGCTTTTCCAGGCCATAGCAGAGAGGCGGATTGGAAGAGAAGCAGCCAGGACTTAGAATCTGTGCCCATAGGGGATGTTGGCTCTACAAGTGGAGGCTTAGTCCACTACACCACAGCGCCAGCCCCTTCTCAAACTTTTTAAAAATGCTTCTTGCTGACGCCGCGGCTCACTAGGCTAATCCTCCGCCTTGCGGCACCAGCACACCGGGTTCTAGTCCCGGTTGGGGGCCGGATTCTGTCCCGGTTGCCCCTATTCCAGGCCAGCTCTCTGCTGTGGCCAGGGAGTGCAGTGGAGGATGGCCCAAGTCCTTGGGCCCTGCACCCCAGGGGAGACCAGGAGAAGTACCTGGCTCCTGCCTTCGGATCAGCGCGATGCGCCAGCCGCAGCAGCGGCCATTGAGGGGTGAACTAACGGCAAAGGAAGACCTTTCTGTCTGTCTCTCTCTCTCACTGTCCACTCTGCCTGTCAAAAAAATAAATAAATAAAATAAAAATAAATAAATAAAAAGCATAGAGACAAAGAGAAAGAGGGATCTCCTTTCTACTGGTTCACTCTCCAAATTTCCGCAACTGCTGGGACTGGGCCAGTCCAAAGGCAGGAGCCAGGAAATCAATCCAGGTTTCCCAGGTGGGTAGCAGGAACCCAAAATCTTGCCCTGTCATCTGCTGTCTCCACGGTGTACAGTAGCAGGAAGCTGGAATTGCAAGCAGAGCGAGGATTAGAATGCAGGCACTCTGATGTGTGCTGCAGGTGACCCAGGCAGCAACTTAACTTACTGCACCAAAGCCCATCAATCTCAGACTGTTTAAACTCATACCCCCTTTTGAAAATGGAAAAGTCTTTTTTTTAAAAAAAAAAAAAAAAGATCAATTTATCTATTTGAAAGTCAGAGTTACACAGATAGAAAAAGGGGAGGCAGAGTGAGATAGAGAGGTCCTCCACCCTCTGGTTCACTCCACAGTTGGCCACAGTGGCTGAAGCTGTGCTGATCAAAAACCAGGAGCCAGGAGCTTCCTCCAGGTCTCCCACACAGGTGCAGAGGCCCAAGGACCTGGGCCATCCTCCACTGCCCTCCCAGGCCATAGCAGAGAGCTAGATCAGAAGTGGAGCAGCCGGGACTCAAACCAGTGCCCACATGGGATGCCGGCACTGCAGATGGCGGCCTCACTGGCCACACCACAGCGCCAGCCCCAGAATCTCATTATAGCTTCCTTCTCACCAATTGTGAAAAATAGTGTGTAAAAAAACAAATGGGAGTTTTGATATTGTTTTCCATATACAAAGTAATAATTGAGAAAGCTTTATAAAGAAACAACACCTGGAAATTTTACCCCAGCCCCCATTGATCTCTTCTAATAGGAGACCAAGAAGTCTGAATAATGTTTTTTGAAATTGCTTTCAAATGCGGGAATCAGAATATTTCAGTCTGTTAAAACCATGAAGTACTATATATATGAATGTTAGAATACTTTTAGGAATGATATGGTTGGACATAAACTTTTGCTTATGCTCATAGACCTTGAACAAATTAGTTGTGTCATGTTGTTCATATAAACTTTCATTTTTACGCAGTGAAGCACGTTTTAATGTATGGACCATCATCTTCAGGGTCTTCATTTGTGGGGAGACTTTCCCTTAACAGTTAATTGTGGTTCCAGAAGTGCTGTGTATATCTGCTGCCTGTGGGTCAGCTACCAACAGGA